TTGGTCTGAGCATCGCCTTGGCTGCAAGCTCCTTCTTCTCCGCCCCCGGCTGGACACGGAACAATCGCCGTTCTTCTGCCAACCTCTGAGATCCCAGCCGGCCGTTCCCACATCCGCCCCGCAGCCTCCTCCAGCTCCAGGCCCGAGTCTTGCAACCGTTCCGCAGAGCGCGGCTTGGAGGGGGTCGGATTTTCCGGGGAGACGCCCGCAACCGTCACTTGCGCCAGCGAAAAAATAGTGCCAGCGGCCGGGGAAATTTCCCGAGAGGCGGAGCCGGAAAACGGCAGCTGAGAATGGTGGTGATCTGTGTTTGAATAATTATAGAGCTTTCAGCCTCTCACCCCCCCTCCCATTAAATAATTATTGTGGCCCCCCCATTCTTCCCTCCAGACTCCTGGGTTCTCTCCCCAGACCTGGGTGGAGAGTGGGGGCTAGTGGTTAGAGGAGGAGGAGACTGGGAGCCAGGACTCCTGGGTTCTCTCCCTGGCTTGGGGGAGTGGGGACTGGTAGGTTAAGATGGGCATGTGGATACGTCTCGGTCGCTTCCCCCAGAGGTGCCAGCCACTCCAGGGCCCGCGGGCGCTCCCCTATGCCCCAGCGTACCAGTAAGGGTTATATGCCCCTGTGGGTTGGTGGGGGAGCGCTCGGAGCGGCCCCACGCCACTCCCCGGTGCGTCTCCCTCTCTTTGAAGTGGCGGGCGCTGCAGAACGGACTCATTTCAAAGGGCCTGGCCGCAGACGCCCAAACCGGGGTAAAGCAGCAACCTGCTGGGAGAGACTCACTGGAGAACAGAGCCCCGGTCGGCTTGTACCGGCCCCCATACAGAAGCCCCCCGCTTGGGCCCAGAGACCCTTTCGGGGTCTGCTTTCTGTGGCGCGCTTTCGTCCTAAATAACCAGGCCAGGCTGCGAGGAAGCCGGCTGGGCCCGGGTAGCCCCGGCTGCTGGAATCAGCCCACCCCCGCAGTCTTTAAAGCACACCTGCGGCCCCCCCCCCCCCCCCCCCCCACCCCCCCCCCCCCCCCCCCCCCCCCCGCCCCCCCCCCGGCCCACCGAGCCCTTTAAAAACCCCCCCAGCAGGGAGCGGGACGGGCTTTAAAATCTTTTTTTTTTTGTTAAGATTTTTTTTTTCTAGCCCTGTGCTTTAAAGATCTGCAGCCAAGCTGCTAAAATAAACAAATACAATATATAGAATTTCCTTTGCTGTATTGCACACGTCGTATCTTTCGGGGAGGCGGGGGACGCTGTATAGAAAATACTTTCCTTTATATACAGATATGTTCACGGGGGTGGCGTGGGGGGGAGCGGCCGCCTGGCTTATAAATTGGGGGGGGGACCCCTCTGCAAACTTCATGGGGATTTTTATTTTGCTGAGGGGGCGGGGGAAGATGGCTGCATGGCCTGGAAAATTTTGGGATGCCCTCAATTTGGGGGAGTGTTTTTTGCTGAGGGGGCAAATGAGTTGCATGGCACAGAATGTTGGGGTCCCCTGTGAGTTTCGGGAGGATTCTGAACTGAGGGGGAATCAGTTTCATGCCCTGGATTAATTTGGGGGGCACTGAGGGAGGGAGAAATCAGCTGCATGGCACTGAATTTTGGGGTTCCCCCTGGGAATTTGGGGGGGATTTTGAACTGCGGGAGATGGTAAGGGCATGGAAAGTTGAGGTTCCCCTACAAATTTCAGGGGGACATTTCAGCAGGAGGCATGGCATGGCACAGAAATCTGGGGTTCCCCCTCAAACTGGGGGGGGACACTTTCCAGGAAGCCACGCTCTGGGGCCAAACTGACACAATTCAGTTTGCATGGCAGTTTTTAAAGGGAGCCTGAACCCTGCTTTTTTTGCACTTGCATCTGTCCAAAGCGCCCCCCCCCACACCCCCTTTTCAACGGGTGGATGGGGAGTGCTTGGGTCCCATTAAGGAAGGGGGCAGAAAACTGGGATCTGAACCCCCACCATGGCACATTTTCGGGGGGCTGAAGCAGCGGCTTGGTTCTGAGATCCACACCCCCCCACACACACACTTGGGGGGGGCAGCAAGAGCTGCAATGCCCTTTGTCTTACCTGAACCCGACAATCCTGGGGGTGCCCCCCAGCTGGGTTTGCCATAGAGGGGAGTTTGGCAAAGCCAGGAATCCCCATTCGTTCTGTACGTGTCGGGGGGGGACACTGGGGAGCTGGGGGCACCCCCCCACTTTGGTCATGTGGTTATTTGGTGCCTGCCCCCCCAAATCTACAATGGAAGAAGCCCTTAAGAGGAAGAATTGGGTGGCACCACCTATTCCCCGCCATCCACATGGTTTGGCCCAGATACTGCAATGGGGACAGGGAAGTGACTATAAAGTCCCGCCCCCTTTTAACACCAAGATTCTGAGGGGGTGGAGCCAAGGCAGGAATGTGGGGCAGTACAGCAGATGGGCCCCACCCCCTTTGGACCCAACCAGTGCACACTGGAGATGCCCCAATGGGGCTGTTTATTCGGGGGTCCTCTCCCCCACATCCCCCTACTGGGCCCCTCTGGGGGCTGACCCTAGAGTAGCCCTCCCTGGAACCCCCCCGTTTCTCCCCAGGGGCCCCCCACAATACTGGCATAGCCCCCCCTTCCTGATGCCACCCACCCTCCCGTCTGCCAGCCCCGCCACTTATGGCAGCTGTATGCCCCTCCCCTAACAGCCTCACTTTGGCTGGCGTTTTCCCTGGCGCAGGGGGGGGGGGGTGGCACGGTGCTCCCGTGGGGCAGGCAGGTGAGAGATCCTTGGCACCCATAGGGGGCGCCGTGGGGCAGAAACAAAGCTGCTGGGTGGGAAGGGAATTAATGTTCTGGGATTTGTTTAGCTGGGGTGTGGGGGAGAATTGAAGGGGCTGTAAAAAGGGGGGGCCCTTGCAATATCCCCATCTCCGCTAACACCCCCACGATCAAACGGGGGTGGGGGGAGGGAGAGAAGCATTTTGGCTTCTAACTGGAGATTACTGGGGTAACGGAGGCGAGGGGAAGAGGGGGTTACACGCCCCCCCCCCC